GATTAGGGATAAACTTTTGCCAAAGGCCGACTATACTGGAGGAGGACAAAGGGGTGTGGTTTTTAAGAAAAAGTAGAATTGTGTGGTTGATATTGAATTGATAAAGTGTGAATAAAGTAAGAATGAATTTTAACCACTCAAATATTATCAAATATCGTATGGAACAAATGTAATGGGACGGACAAAAAAGATAGAACGAGACAAAATTAGAAGAAGGGAGTAATCGCTTAGAATTACAAATATTTTCAAGTTTCATTCTTTAACTTTTGTACTTCCATTCAACTCTTCCACCTTATTAGACTTTGAACTAGATAACCCGAGTCTTTTTCCTTGTCTAAAACTTCCAACGGCTAGTAAGCCCTCGAAAGATAACTTAGGAAAAGAAATAAAATAATTTTCGTTTTTTACTATACTATACTCCATGTTATGTTTTCCCCTTACACATAAGAACTCCACGTTAAATCTTTACCCGCGAAGTGATTGCATATAAAGTTTAAGAAGTAATCATTTTGCATGTAAATAGAATACAATGTTTGGTTAGATGTGTAATTTGTTTTTAATTTGCACGTAAAGACGTTGCAATGCCTTATAAAAAACATGCAAAGTATTTTACCAGATAAAATACTTTACAAGGTACAATGCAAAATGTTTTGAAAAAGTGTTTTAAAGTTTACATTAAATAATTAAACCAAACAATGTAAATTTTTTACGACATTTCACATGCAAAATAATTATTTGAGTCCCTACCTTTTTACGTTTTAGATTTTTAGTTAAGCTATACAATGTCTGATCTCATGGTTGATGCATTTTTTATTGCCAAGTTTATACAACTTTGTGTATTGAACTTTAGATTTTAAGGTACAAACTTTTATAATGCATTTAATGACCTTTTAGAATGTTTTAATTAGATTGAAATTTTCTAATTTGGTTTGGTCTAATCTAATCAGAACTGGTTTAACTGATCTGATAGATGTCCATAAGTGCCAGACCAGACCACGTCCAAGCGACGAAGTGCATTATGATAAATTAAAATAAAATAAAATAACCCGCTATAGACAATTGAATGCAGAAACCGGCAACAATTTCTTAGGGTATGTTTGGGAATTTGGATGGGAGGGGAGGGGGAGGCTTTGGAGGTATGTTGTTGGAGGGGAAAAGAAGGGGAGAGTGAGGAAGCTTTCTTTGTATTTGGGAGTAGTAAATTTGAAAGAAGAAAGTTTTAGAATGAATTATATTTAAAATCATTTTGAGATATGACGAATTCAAATAATTGAACTGATACTTATTTTTAATTGAACTTAAATTATCATTTCGTTAATTATCCTTCAAATGATTGGGGAATTCAAAAATTGAACATTTAGAGGATTTTGGAGGTCACCAAAACCCATCAAAACAATTCCCTCCAATTTTATAATCTCTCAAACATGAAAAGGAGGGTCATAAACCCCACCAACCTTCTTTTCCTCTTCAAAACCCACTCCCAAACACACCCTTAATCTTTGATAGGAATAATAAACAAAATATGTTCATTGTACATAATAAACCCTACAATCGTATCACAAAACATTAAAAAATCATACGTATGCAGAAATTACATTGCTTTAACTTGGACTGGCCTACCATCTATTTACATTCTACTGTAATATTCCACATAATATTAATTAAGCCTACATTAATTAAAATTAATTAATCAGTAATGGCAATCCAACGAATCCGGCCCGGAGAAGACAGAACTTACTGACATGGAATTACCATCGTCATCATCACCGGCTTGATCTTCACCTGGAGCTGGTAAGTTAAGATCGAGTGTAAAACCAGTTGCAGGCTTTTCATGATCATCGTCATCCATGGAGGTGGACGCGGCGGCTTTCGTAGTACTAATAGTAACACCGTTCATATGTAACGGCCGGTGTCTTCTCATGTGACCACCCAACGCCTGGCCGGAAAAGAACTCCGACCCACAAATCGAACACCCGTGAATCCTATTACTTCTCATGTCCTCTGTTTTTCCGGCGCCGCCGCCCTTGTGGCGGCTTTCTTGATTATCCGATGTGCTCTGTTTCTTGTTATGGCTTGCTCGATGCCCACCTAAGGCTTGGAACGATGGGAATCTCCGGCTACATGTCTTGCACTCGTAACCGCAGCTGACCGCCGCGGTGCTGGCGGTTTTAATCTTCGCCGCCTTAGGACCGCCACGTGCCAAGAGAATTAGACAATGTGCCACGTCCTCGTCCTCTTCGGTGGATATCTGGCTGCTAGAACTTGCCTGAGAATGATCAAATGAAGGACAAAACATGCTGCCACCGTCACCGCTCCCGGAGGAGCTCGAATAAACAGCCACCCGGGGCGGGGATGCCCGGGGACGCTTAGATCGCTTTCCTTTGCACAATGCCATCTTGCTTTGCTTTATCATTTTTAGTATAGCCTAATAGTTCTTCTTAGGTCAAGAAAATGGTGAAGTATAAATAAGTGTAGTGAAGCAGAGAGAAAAAAAGTTTCAGAAACTGTGTATGGAGACAATGAAGAGAGATTTGGTCTGGGAATGGAACTAATTAAGGCACTAGACAAGTTGTATTGTAGGAAGGATCATCATCTCATCTTTTCTTAGACATATACCATGAACTTAGACAAGAGGCTTGTGCATTTATTTACACCTTATTAAGGTCTATGAAAAAATCTAAAAGGGAAATCTCTTTAACATACATAGTCAAACACTCCTACAGCTAGATAGAGCCCCTATTTAATTAATTTGTTCATGTGATTGTATTGGCAGTCACTCTTAAAGATCACATTAGGGACTGGAGAAAGTGACTTACCAGTGAGTTTCATGTGATGTAATTTTTTGGCATATTGGTTGGTTTTAAGTTTTGGCCATTTATAAAAAAAAATAAAAATAAAAAGAATGAGTGTTTTCAAGGGTATTGAGTTGGGTCAAGATGGTTTATTTTTTCATCATTGTTTATTACGGAGTATGTGTGAAAATCAGTGGATACTTACTACCATATAAGCACTACAGAGGTGCCTGTAATGAACATTTGTTATTGACTTTGCAATGATACTTTGTCTCACATCTCTTTACTTTTTCTTCCTCCAATTACTGCACACCCCCTCTTCTTCTCATCACTGTCCAAAGCCACCAATTTCCTGTCCCATAGATTTACTAAGGGCCTTGAGCATTATTCTATGAAAATATATTTCCTAGAACTTGCTGCAAAGGCGCTAGGCTCACTTGCTTGTGCTCTTTACTTATTTTGATCATTAGCCATATCTAAACTTAAGTGGGCTCTAGGTTCCAGATTTATGGGCTAGACATGGTTCATGTTTAGGGTAGATCACCAACTTTCTCCCCTCCCTTAAAGACTAGATCAAAATGAATGAGGTTCCGGTTTCAGATATTAAGTCTGGATCAAAACTGATACAGCTCGTATGTCATTTGGTTCTTATACCCAACACTTATTCACACTCAAAAACTGGTTTGAACCACAAAAATCAGAAACAGAAACAAGGCGTTTAATCAAAGGTTTCGGAAAATTGGGAATAGGATCCAGACGAGCCTACCTCTAGTGCCTAAAGACTGCCTAGCAATTTTGAGAACATGTGTCTTCACTACTGTTTAAGAGGCTATGGTCTTGCATCTAGACAGGGTCTATGCAAGATTGCAAGATGAGGCCAGGCATAGAGAAGTAAGCTCCCAAAGAAGCTAGAAAAAAATGTCTAGCAATTGGATGGAGATGAAGTTCTCGCAGAGAGCTTCCGCCTAGCCCCAAGAGGCATAGAGTTGCGTCAAGCTACACCGTTTATTTCTCACTATCTTCGGTCAAGTGATGTGATTCGTTTAGCAGCAACTCAGCGAGTACGCACCAGTGCTTTTTTGACAATTTAAATGGGGAGTTCACGCTAACAATCATGGGTCTAGTCTCCTTCGGGATTGCCTTCTTCATGATGATGTATTGCATTAAGAACAATGCAGAAGAATTCATCGTGTTACTCTACACTAACATTGTGGGAGCTAGCTCCCCTTCCAACCATTGACATACCACTTACCAGGAAGATAGGGATAGCGACACTTGGTTCTCTCTTGTGGGCTTGTGGCCAGTAAAACCATGATCAATAATATTACCTTACCAGGGCTAGGAATTCAAAGTAACAAGCTTTTCAAGAAATACGTTAACTTTCTTGCCAATGGCCGGTAAATTGGGTAATGTTAGCAGAATTGAAGCATGAGCAGTAAGAATGTTTTTACTTGGACTGTAATTTGTCCCAGACCAGACCATACTTGGGTAGTTATAAAAATACAAAGAAACCAGACCAGACCAGTTCAGACCAGACCAGCAAATTCCAGTCCAAGTAAAAACATCCTAAATATGGTATTGGAGTTTTCAATTTCACAGGCTGGCAGAACAAAGTGTTATCTTAAGATCATCTGGTTCTTGACTTCTCGTAGTATTTAATATGGTAATGAGTATTGAATTTTATATGTAACAAGAGTAGTGTTTTACACGTGCAACGGTGCAAATGTGCAATTCAAAACCAAAACCGGATCAGGGCAGATTGATTGCCTACTCGAAACTGAACCAACACACCATCCCTAAACTAGCTACCCTTTGAACTTTCAACTGGTCCGATTCCTTTTTTTTATCAGGACAGATATAACCCGAAATCTGATCATATCCATCCTAAAGATGTGACTTGAGAAACCAAGAATTCCGCTTTGAGTTAGAGCATCTACTCCCAAAACTGGGGAAGGGCCGAGTTCCAATTCCGAAGTCAACCTGACACGAACTGAACAAGTAAAGAACCAGACCAGTGGCCCGTCTTTCATGTTGCAAACCCAAACTGATCCAAATTGATTTGTGATTTAAAAAATATTTGAAGAGCCTAATGTCCTGTAACTGAAACCGACTCAGAAACAGCTAGTGTGGAACCAAAATCATCCCAGATCCACCCCTATGCCCTACCCAACACATGAAATTGAACGTCAATTCATCAAAAGTGGCAATGAGATAAATGCCGCAACCATACACTAAACTCCTAAGCGTGAATACCTTTCTCATCCCTCTCATGACAACATGCAGCAATGGAGAATTCACACAATTCATATAGAGACGTTGAAACCCAAAAGGTGAGTGAACTTTCAATAACAATACACTTGAGCATTCCAAACAAAGACATGTCTTATAAACTCATGAGTCTACATACAATCCCATATTTATTTATTAGGTGTGAATCCTCTGAGAAAATTCAGCTTCAATCCTTGACTTATACGGGAGTTAAGCCAACCACACCTGGGCAACATATCGATAATGTTTGTATCAGTGGAAAAAATATTTGACTGAGCTAATGCAGCAAAGAATATATTGCATATCTTAATGAGTTTACAAATAATAACAATGGTGATGATAGTAAATTAGTAATGATTATAATAACAATAACAACAATAGTAATAATATACGATGTTAAGGGTGTATTAAGAGTTTAGTAATTTATCACTGAACTATTGATAAGATTAGATTCGAGTTAGTACGCAATGCAAATCATAATGATACAATATAGGGTTAGTGAATAATGACTATAATGTATATATTCACAAACTGCACAAAAAGTTATGTAAAAGCACACATAAAAAACTTAATGCAAAAAAGTAAAGAAAATATTATATATTTGTCAAAAAAAATAAGTTAGTTTGATCAATAAATAGTGAATAGGATATAACAAGACACAACAATTGAGAGAAAGATGGTAAGTATTTGACAATGCTTACTGCTCGATCCCTAAAAAGACCGATATATTGGTCACTTTTCAAGTGAGAAAAAATTATTGCAGCATACATCCCAAATATCTCTTTTTAGAGAAAAACTTGCGCTAGAGAAGGTATGTTTCTTTAGAGCACCAAAGGAACATTATTTGCTTTTTTTCAAGCTTGCCCACTTCTACACACAAACATCAATACAACAACATCCAAGCCTTACACAGTACACACAAATCAATAAATATCAAACTATCAATAATTACATTATGATCATTATAATCATTTTTCGATTAATCATTCAGGAACTTTAAAGGTTTTATTTTTTACTCATATAAGAGCAACTTGAAAGAAGAAATTATGATTTCCCTTACCACAAGCCAACCGCCCACCTGCATTTCCAGTAGTGAGACTGAGCTCATGGCCACCTGCAAAATGATTAACATTGTAAGTAGTAGGTCCAGGTTAAATTAAGGTTTACTATTACTGCTCAGGGTTGAAGTAAAAGAAATACTAAAATACTGTTTGGTAGGTTTCATTTCAGCTTCACCCTGTTGTTTTCATTGTACGGAGTATTATGTAATTAATAGTGCATGAGTTGATTTTTTGGCTGAAATTGACAAACGTTCATAGATGTTTTTTCTTCAATTTATTTTCTTAAGGTTATTTAGCAGATTCATCCCTTTCAGAAGCAACTTCGACACTTTAGTCATTTTAAACCAAACCAAATGGGCTCTATAATTGAGAATCAAGCCGTTAGAGAATAGCTACCAAATACATAAAAATATATGACTTTGTGATTATCAAAGATTAGTTGGTTATGATTTTCTGCTTTCCACAACCACTTCTCAACTGCCAAAATCATCAAAATGAGCAATTGACCATCAATCCAGATGATGAGGTCATGAGACTTACCCTTTCCAAGGTCGTCCTCAAGTTCATGAACCACAAAAGCTCTTCCGACAACTGAATTTGGACCACTTAATGGTATCTGTACCAGAAATAAAAGAAACACTTAACCGGCTTCCAAATCCCAAACAAGAATCACATGGTGTTAAAGTATCCTACATCGGGACACTAACCGCATATCACCCACCAAATAACAAATGGACTTCCTGACTTTGTTTCTTAGGGTCTAAGATCTAGAGTCTAGACTCATACTCGGGCTCTTAATGTTTTTGGGCTTATTTGGAATTTTGGATACAAATTCAAAGCATGGTTTGGCCACATAGCTAAATAAGGTTGAGTGGAGTACCTGGTGATCAACAATTGTTGCTTCGGCCAAGCCTGGATAGAGCAAGCAAAGTAAAAGGTGTGCCAAAAACTACAAATAATTCAATCAATAATTCAAAATTAAGAAGTACTACACTATGTTGCACGGAAACGCACCCTTTCCCGAGAGTTTCCGAAACGGAAACGTACCCTTTCCCGAGAGTTTCCGTGCTACCTAGGTACTACATTAAATAGGCTGAAGAGAACACATCACATACCTTCGGCATTAGCCAATATGTTTCCCAGGTCACCCGCATGACGAACTTCATCCTCTGGAGCTCCATGTGTCACTTTATTTGGATTAAAATGTGCTCCTGTTTGAAATACTCACAGAGTTCAACTCAGTACCAAACAAACATTAGAATGAAAGGTGTGACATTTGTGAATAGAAATCAACCAACATTTCATATCAAACCTGTAGATATGCACCCATTTGTTGTATCACCAAATTCGTGCTACGATGCAGCCAAAGATAATAAGAGTGAAATAAATTAGTTTTGTAACCCCATGGCAGGACACAAGAAGATAATTAAGATATCACATAGCTTGATGATGGCTTACAAGGTGAAATCCATGAAGTCCAGGAGAAAGACCATTTACACGAACTTTCACTGTGGTTGGACCTATGGCATATTTGAAACAAGTGGCAATATGTAAATAAAGTTACACTCATAAATGACTTGCACAAAGGGCGGGCAAGATGGGAGTAACTGCTGAGGCCCCAAATTTTTGAATAGGACATCACTGAAGTGGCTATTGACGAGGAACTGGCTAGTTGCCTGTGGATAACTGCGCTGGTAATTGGTCTATGTCTTACTGATGTTGATAGAATTTGTAAAACATATTTCCTAAAAAATATAAACTTTAATCTTTTCCAATGAGTATCCAATTAGTAATTTTTAAATCTTTTGAAAAAAACCACAATATGTGTAATTAAATAATTTCCTAATAAATAAAAACTTTAATCAGTTCCAATGAGTATCTAATTAGTAATTTTTGAATCTTTTGAAAAAAAAAATCCACATTATGTGTAATTAAATTATACTCATACAGTACTTTTATTATAATATATGAGCCCTAGTTGAGATTTGGAAGATTTTGACATATTAGTCATTAGTAATTCTTGGTTAAAGTCTGAAGAAATGATTTAGTCTTTAACTGATACGCTGACTATTAAAAGCCTACTTAAAATCATCAATGTCACACAAATAGTTGTACCATTTACTAATTTTATGTGTGACCATGACAGCTTATATTGTTCTTGATATGCCTTTGAGTAATTTTGCATGTAGGAAAACTATTGAACATCTTATTTCTTTTCATTTGACTTTTTAGTCATTATGTAGAGCATCTCCATTCATGCTTCCTACATAATCAGATTTTTATGGTCCTTGCATTTAAGTTATTACCACTTAATTCTTTTATGAATAATCTCACACCCACAATATTACCTTCAACCATCATATAAGAATAATGTAATCTTTTGTGGGTCTTGCATTACCTAATTAGCTCTAGTTTCACAAATAATCCCAAAATAATCCTGATTTATATTTCAATCTCATATTATTCTATCAAATAATCCCTCGCACTCAATCGCTCTCCCAGAAATAATAGGCCACTTCATCAACATCCTCTCTAATAATCTCAAGAATGCCATTAGTATTTTTCTCTTCATGTATATAGTGAATTAAATATTTTGCTCACTAGTATTGAAACGATGTGTTTTAGATAGTACTCCGTACTACGTATTAAAACTTTGTTGAGTCCTAAATTTCAAAATCACATTTGGGCGAATGCCCCTGCTTCAATCAACCAACTCGAAATTCAAGTCCTTCAGAACAAATGAACACTCCTTGCGGGCGGAATAGATTCATAAAATTAGGCAAAATTAGAGGAGAAAGAGAACAGACCATTGTCATCTTGTGTGAGAGTGACGACGCCTTCTACATTGGAGGCTCCTTTTAGTACGGAGACAGCTTTCTTCACGGCGGATACGACCGTGATGGGCTTGCGAGCGGAAACGGCGTGGAGGGTCAGCGATTTGACAACGGGGTTGACTTTGAGAGATGCGCCGTAGAAGGAAGACTGGAGTGGAGTAGCTGAAATGGGGACGGGGAAGAGAAGAGAGTTAGAGGTGGGGGCGGAGGAGAAGATGAGAGTGTGTCCGCCGGCCATGGCTTCCAGACGGGCGGCTGAAGTGCGGATTACACACGATGATGTGGCGGAGAAGGAGGTAGTCGACGTAGCTCTTTGCCAAGTAGACAGAATCCGAAAGATTTGTACGAAGAGGTTGCTAGTTGAAAGCAATGACTCGTTATGGTAATGGATCGGGTGGGCCGTGGGCAGGTACTAGGTTGTGCAAAACCCAAGTCATTTTGTGACTTTCATACCACCTGCATGGATCAATATATGTTGCCACATGGCCCATGTCATAGGTCCGCTTGATGTCACTTCAACTCGATTAGCAATTACTTTCTCCATCTCCGTTTAAATTTTGAAATAATTACATATTTATAATTAGGGTTTAGGCGAGTCGCATACGGCGGCACAAATCTGAGCTTCGAGGAAAGCTTTGCTTGAGTTTTGTTGGTGAAATTGATTCGTGCGGTGGGGATTAGCAATTCTTAATCGAAGAAATCACACAGAAATTCTAGATCGAAGATATAGTGAGGAAAGGGTTAGCTTTGTTGTGACGATTTTCACTTGGGCACTTGATCACGAACGAAATGGTCTTTATCGGCAGAGCAAGGTGTGATGGAAGGGCTTAAGTAATGTGAGTAAGAAGCAATGTGAGTATGATGATCAAATAATTCACTAAAGTGAATTCTTTTATTGCCACTTATGTTCATTCACGTTTAGTTTACCTTTTTATTTATCATTTCATCATTTTTTGTTTTATACTATATCATATGTTTTATTTATTTTTGTGATATTTACTTTTGTGTTTCTACAAATATCGATCTTCTATTTAGCTTTTGTATTTCTTATCCTATTTATCTTAATTCGAGACTTTTTTATATATGTATATATAACAAAGATGTAGGACCACGTGTATAAGAATTGATTTCATGTTTATTGAAAAATGCACGACAACTCATATGTAAGTGCACAACATAATTCAGATTATTTTAATTTGATGCACTGATTATACCTTATTGATGCACTTTATATGATTTTAGTTTACTTTTTCGTAGATATCTGCAGGTTCAACAAAAGACAGTGTCATAATCAGATAATAGTCACACTTTTGAAAGAAAAAGTGCATTTATTTGTAAAAAAAAAAATGTCAACGTGACATTCCAATTGAATGATATGGTAGTGTACTTTTGCATATATTTAAAACAAACACGATAAAAGTGCACTTCACTTTGTAAGAAAGTGCTAACGTAAAAATTTACAAAGTATGATATAATAGTGCACTTTGATTTATATTTGAAACTAGACAAAGTACCCGTGCGATGCACGGGGTGTATCTAGAATAGTATAAAAGTTAATGTAAAATTTTATTTTATTAGATTATATATAATGTATATTTTTATCAAATAAAAAAAGACAATAGAATTTACATGTTGTAGCTTTCATTATATAATATAGCTGTAAGAAAATAAATTTTGGTTTGTATGGAAAATTGGAAGTAAAAATTAAAATAAATAATAAGGTGTAATATAATAAACTATATGTATTTGATGATGGGAATTAAACATAATGTAACTATTAGAAGGTCTCATAAATTAAAGTCGTCTCAATTTTCCTTTTCGATTCATTCTACTAAAATTGTCTAATATCAAAATTAATAAATTGTATGGTTTTAAATTATTCTTATTTTATCAGTTCAATATTAATTACATAAACTTACTTTTCAACATCTATTTGTGTCTCAATGGTAGTGAAATGAAGGTAGTAAGAACTAATATTCCATTATTTTAGGCCCCACTATGAGGCAACAATATTGGAGAAAATTTGGTAACTTTATTGTACTTTATATTATTTTTACAAAGATATAAAAACAAATAGTACATATGAGAAAAGACTTTTTACCAAAGTTGAATTATTATTAGCATTATTTTTAATTACAACTAATTTTAACAATGACCATATATGAAGTAAATGTTATCAATTTATAGAGATAAAAATCAAAATCATGCGTGGAAGTTAATGATAATTTGTTACTCGATTAGAACTTTAACCTTTCTCTTTAAGGTGACACTTATCATGAGGCATGAACATTTGAGACAAAAATTATTACAGCTTTATTTCTTTATATTATAACATAAATATAAATAGAACAGCTGAAAGAAAGGATCGGACTTCTTACAAAATTAATGAGAAAAGAAATTTAACTTTCGGCGGGAAAATAATGAAGCAAATTGTTATTACAATTTTACTACTTTGTTTTATAAAAAAAATCCAGGGTCATTATTTTTATGATTTTTCTTGTGACATCAATATGTCATATATAAATTTCCAAACAATCCAGTCATTTTTTGGATATTTGATGTCATAAATATAAAACTGTTTATATAAAAATCCAGGATCTTTTTATATCTTTCTTTTATTTTTGGCAAAAATATGTCCAAAATAATAACAAAATAAAGTCCAAATTTAGTTATTTTACATCAGAATGTATGAGGTTTTATGTCATAATTGTCCATAAACAGTTATTATAAAAAAATTGATGAATTTTAATGGTAAAAGTAAGGATTCAGTTACAAAATATATGATGGTAAAAATATTGATGTTGTTGGATCGTAGAGAAATAAATAAATTGACAGAATGAATACAAATTAAGTTTACACATAAACTAATTGAAAATTTGATCTGTTAACAAAAGTAGCTAGTAGTTGTTCTATAAAAAATGAAAGTAGTAGGAGTAAACTTGTGGTCATTACCGTCACCGTCGAATTTATTATTCTGTAGTAATTTCAAGGCATGTAATTAGTGTTCCTAATAACATATCCAATACTACAATATACACGGTGCAGATGCGAAGTGAGCAAGATAAACACAAATAATACATTCATGACATTTCTTACTGCTTCTTTTCATAGTCTTATTAGTTTTTGATAAGTGTTTTTCAACAATGTCATTGACACTTTAAATAAGGATAGAGACACGCTCTACCTGATTTACCAAGCTAGTTTTGAAAGTATATATGGTAAGAGTATATTATTATTTATTACAATTTGTCAATATTTTAAAAGTACTAATTATATTACTACTTCAGAATTAAGGGAAAATAAGAGAGCTTGTTATATGACTTATATCCTTATATTATTATACATAAATTAGTTATGAAGAAGCAATAATTGTGGCCTGGTATTCTTAATCAGTTGATTAAATTAGAATTTGACATCGATCACATGTACAAAATTGAGAGCAAACTGATTTCTGTGGATGGAAATTAACTAATTAAACATATTATGCACATAAGTTAATTCAGTATAAAAATACATTAATGATTCTACCGAGAGTATCTCCTATCTAATGCAAAGTAATTACCATTTGTATATATTTTATGGTGGTAAAAATAGAGCTGAGCCAAAAGTTGTAGCAAATTTGCTACTTTATAAGTAGTATAAAGATTAGAATTACTGATACTTCAAATTAATATTAGAAGAACGTTAATAATTGGGATTATCCATAAGTGTTCATAAAATAACCGACATAGGGATTGAGAGTATTAAATGGGTATTAGTTTGAGTTAGTCCCAATGATCCTTTTGGTTTATCGGTCTTATCAGCCAATATCCCCTAAACACATAAGTTTTAATTAGTAGCGCTGAATTACTAAAGTTACTTTTCTGACTGAATTGATTAAAGTTACTATAAAGGATCTTTTTTCCTCATATAACTTAGAATCTGTTCTGTCAATCTTATTCGTATAATCGTATTACTTGTTGCTTATTCTTTTTTTTACTCAGATCTAATCAAATCAGATAAGAAAAATTTCGATCAGATTATAAATATTCAGATCAGAAAATGCCGATCAAATCAAAATTGATAAATTATGTCTTTATTTTTCTCAATAAGAAAAATAAAGACATAATTTATCAATTTTATTATTATTATTATTATTATTATTATTATTATTATTATTATTATCATCATTATTATCATTATTATCATCATTATTATTATCATTATTATTATAATTATCATTATTATTATCATTATCATCATCATCATCATCATCATCATCATCATCATCATCATCATCATCATCATCATCATCATCATCATCATCATCATTATTATTATTATTATTATTATCATTATTATAGTTATTATAGTTATTATTATTACTACAGAGTATTATTATAATTACCATCATTACCATTATTATTATTACTATTATTATTATTTTTATCATCATCATCATCATCATCATCATCATCATTATTATTATTATTATTTCATTCATTTTATTTGAAATCTTATTACATTCATTAAGAAAAATAGATGCCGTATATAAATAAAATCTCAAAATGGAAGTTAAGTTATACCACATGGTCATTATAGCTAGCTTTCAAAAACTATCTACGTTTAATGATTAAAATAATACTCCGTAGATTTCTGCAATAAAAAAAAATATATACTCCGTAGATACTACGTATCAATATTTAGTGTTTAAATGACATGTTAGCCATTTAATTTGTTAGTTTAGAAATAAATGATGAAAATTTATAAATTATAAATGATTTCACTCAATCTTGTAAATTTGGTAATGACTAATTTGGTACGTATGTGTAAGTGTGTAACTTTAGTGGTTTCTAGCTAAGGCAATCCAATTTACATTTTTTGTCCTCTTTTTAGGCGGGAATGGGCGAGAATTTTCCCTCCAATAATTGTGCAAAGACTGTTACTTTATATTATATAAAGAAAAGATATATAATATAATATATATAATATAAAGATATATGTATTGTAAGGAAAACAATTTCAATTTTTTTAAAAAAACTTCTACATACGTTCCATGTAAACTACATGTTAAAATAATTGTAGTAAGAAAAATTACCATTTCTATATACGTTGCATGAATACTGAATATGGTTACAATTTTATATTGCAATTCAATTACCATTTCCCCCTAATTGATTCCTTATTATGTATGGTGAAATAAATATGGCAAGATTATGGCCAAATTGTTGCCCATTCAATTAATACGTACACCTAATCTAATTATTACCAAATTTACATTTTAGATTAAATTCGTATTCTGACCTCAGTTTGGGCGGGATTTTTCCCTCCAATTGTGGTGCAGCGACTGTTACATTATATTATATAAAGATGCACATAATAAGTATGAAATAAATATTTAATGGAATTGGTTGTGCATAAAGCTTTGAA